AGGGACTGAGTAAATCACCCACTGCCTTCATATGTCTGCTCTGGTCTGGTTGCTCCCTCATAAGCCAAACCTCATTGCTATTGAGGACACCAAAGGTTGTCCAACTTTGAAAATGTAGGGGTTGAAAGAAAAGGCATTTGGGAATTAAATATATGCTTCAATCAGTTGAAGTTTTATACAGATTGACTGCAGTGAAAAATTAGAGCTTTGTGTAATCCAATAGAGTAAAATCAAATGCCCCAAATAAATAAATAGTTGTCTTTTTTTATTAGCTTTCCATCACCCTTGGATCCATTTGTATGTTGCATTGTGTCACCTCTCTCTTCATTTGCAATGTTGCCTCTGAAAACCGTTCTGTTTATTTGAGTTTAGCAATCAGGCTTAAATGTACCAATATATATTGTTCTAAAGTGTATATTTTTTCTGTCTACCAAAGACATAGTGACTATTCCTTTTATGGGAAACCAGTTATTAATCCAGTAAGTCTACATGAATCTATATCTTTGTGAAATGACACCGTGTTCAAGTTATTTTATGTTATGTTGATGGTTAGCTAATTTAGGAATGGAGACATTTCTTTTAGAAACAGACATAGTATAATTTAGCGGTGAAAACGTCAATCACAATAGGTTGTATGTCTTTGTCCAGGCCGAAGAGGGCAGATTTATTGAAGAAAATGGACCTATATATTCCTTGACATACTCTGACCCAAAACATCCATTGTGCTTATAATTTTGTCTGAAAAATGACATCAACTGCAATCAGTAACAGGAAAACAATGCCAAAAGTCATCGTTCTGGGATTCCGATTCAACAGCCTTATTGCAGGAGGACATGGTAACCACTTCAACATGGCACCAGCATACTGGTACTTCGCTTTGTCCATAGTAACTACAAGGGAAAACTGGCATGATACTAAGCACATTTGTAAAATTTTGTCTCCACAAACACATTCAGCATAACTACATCACATCAACACATTGTGACAAAAGGCAACTTGAAGGATGGGGAGTTTACATGGCTACAAAAGGCATAGAGATAAGAGGAGAGTTCTTGCGTGAGTTTCAAGGGTAATAGGACACCCAGACTTTGTAGCTGGGGAGAAATAAAAAAACTTTCCACTTTCTGCCTAAAAAAATATTTGACATGAGATCTGGACATCTGTTGGCCTTCCCCTGGAGCAAACACCTACTCATAGGAGTATGACCTCCAAAGGGATGGTGAGAATTCGGACATCCCAGTTTTAGCTCCAGAAAGGAATGTGAACTCCAGCTCTTCCTCATTCACTGCTCCATTTTACCCACACCCACTTTGTAAAGGAGTCCATAAGCATTGGGAATTTCAAAAATTGATGAGGGAATCCAGCAGGTACCTAGGAAGCGGAAACACCAAAAATCAAGTCCCTTCCTAAGACCCCAGAACACAAGGTGAACAAGTCAAGGTCAGAGTCTGAATTTTAATTGGCTGCTCTTCCTGCCTGGTGGTCTTGAGGAATATCCTGGGACAGCCTCTTCAATAGGGAGTATACCAGTTCTGACTGCCTGGAGGAGAGATTAAGGGACAGAGCCTGCAGTATGACTTGTTTCATCTTTGCATCCAGGCAGAATTATAGCCATCTGTGTGCTGGTCAAGAGAGCAATTATGGATGTGCAGGTGAACAGGTGCATGGTCAGGAGTGGAAGACAGAGCAACGTGTGAGCTCTCTTCTGACTCAGAGGCTGGGCTGGGGTGGGACCATATTCATGTTGTCCATAACCTTAATTACCACACATCTTTCCTACTAACAAAGTTTTATGTGAATTCTATGGACTGACAGTGTCCATCCCCCAAGGAGATACTAAAATCAAATGTCACCTTCTGGAGCCAAAGCATTCACTGCTGACATTTAGTGATTACAGCACAGGGAATCACAGGTGAGGCAATGAACTCACAAAGAGATCCTGGTTGGGCTTGGGCCAGCTTCTGTTCAACTTCCCTTCTCTCTGGTCCTGTCTCTTTGTCTGTGGAGCAGGACACCTTCATTCTGACTTGTCCAGGGCCACATTCCAAGTAGTAGACCCAGGAGAAAATCAGAAATAAAATTGTACTGCTAGATTCTACCATCCCAAGAGTTTTCTCTCAAGCCTGAATATCTCTCAGAACTGGTCCTGGTCCCTTCCACAGATGTCATTCATTCCCTGGAGAAAGTGACCTTCCTCAGAGTAAGTAGAAAGGCTGTCCACAAACCAGCACAAACAAAAGCTTCCTTCCTCCACACTCCCCTGAAGTATTTAAAGGTATCAGTCAATCCAATGGCACTCAGGATCTTGAGCGTGATCCTTGACCTCCAGCAGCTGAGGTTTCTGACTTGAGTTTAGAGACTTTCAATTGCACCAAAGGACATTTCCTTGGTTTCACAGAGGCACTCAGAAAACCTTGAGGTCATGAACTGGGATGTATAAGAAGGCCTTTTCCAGGCTTCTCCATCCTAGGAAAGTGCCTTTTTGAAGGTAGGACAGAGAAAGTCTTGCAGGTGCTTATCCTCAACACTGCTAAGATTCACTTCCCTTCTTTCCTATCTTTGGGTTCCTTTAATGAAATGTTCTCCATCCCAGGCAGGAAAACCATTTCCCTGCAAAATATAAAATCTATAGCTGAGCACTGCGACGAGAATTAACCTTGATTACCGCCGTAATTTACTAATCAAAACTGGAGACCTGCTAATCAAGCTGGAATTGCCAGCTGCTTGATTTTTATAGTAACATAACCAAAATTGAACATTTGGTAAACAAGAGATGTGGGTATGATGGGGAGACTGGGAAAAGGCAAGGGAGGGGTGAGGCCTTCTAGGCTAAAAGGAGGCTGACAATTGCTCCACTGACCTGGCAGCAGGTACAGCAGAACCAGACTGACAGAAATTCAGAAACTTCTGAGTGGGCCAGCCCATTGACACATATACAGAGCAAGAGTTGAGGCAAAATCATGCTTTTCATAATATGATTGTCTCAAATTGGGTTCTTCCAGAAGTCAGCCCTTAGACAAGGATAATGTGAGTCATTTATTTGGGAGGTGATCCCAGAAAACATTGGTAAGAGAGCAGAAAAGTGAGACAGAAAAGGGAAGCTAGCTGATACAGGATGTGTTCATTAGCAGGTTACTGATGAGGTTGGCTAGGACACTACGCGGAATGGACCATCCAGTGGGTTAAGGCTACTCCTGAAGATGCTAACTCCATGGTGCTTCTGGGTGGCCTCACATGCTGGGAAGGTGGGCTCTTGAGGCAGAAGAGTTGTTGCAGTAGGAACCAGTCTACATGTGAGCTCTGTGTGTGCCATGGAGAGGTGGATCTGCTGCACTTGCTACTCAGCATAGCTCTTCCTTGAACTTCACTGCCTTAGGGAGCATCAACCCCTCTGAAAGTCACCTTCTTGGAGAAGTAGGCACCATGCTTTCTTATCTTCTGTGCTTTCATACATGCTGCTCACTCTCATGGGGACAGAGTCAGCAAAGGGCCTTCTCTCCAAGCCATGTGCCCAGAGCACCTTTCGTTTCTTCACCTGAAAGCACCTGTCATTCTGTGGTCTATGATTCCATTAGGGTGTCAGGAAAGTCCTGACATATTTTTTTGTTTTTCTACGCAAAACTGGGTCATGGCTTTCTGGACGACCTAATATTTCCATTCCCTCCAGCTACAGTAAAAGTAACCAGAGGCCTGACTCGTATTTTTCTCTGCATCCCTTGAGTCTAGAAGAACCCAAGCATACAGTGGGTTTTTCTATTATTTTTTGCTAATGAGGTGATTTGATGAATGAGCCTGGATCAAGGGCTACAGAAGAAGGCCCCACCCAAGACCATGTGACCTCACAAATACAGGTCTTCTAAGTGACCAAAACCCCTCTTGAGCTTGACTCCATTGCACCATGAGTTGACCCATGAGACAGGTAAGACAGACATGATCACTGCATGTGTTACACACAGACGGAAGGGAACACCTGGATTCTATCTCAGCTACTGGGAGGTCTACTCACTTACCTCAAGATTCTAAGGAGCTGACTAGAACTGAACCCAGACATTCCAACTCTAAGCTAGTGATGTGGTCTCAACTGTGAAGCATTTTCCACTGGTGTGATGCCTGCAGCCTGAGAGCTCTTGACCCAAGGACCACACTGGCCTTTGACCTCTCTTCCTGATGCCAACATGTTAGAGAGCACAGCAGTTACTGTGTGCATGCCAGTGTTTTCCTCAGTCTGTTCTGTATCTTCTGCTCTCATTAAGTGTTTCATAATTTCCAAAGACAACAAGGGCCCTCTTTTTTTAGTGCCCCTTCCTGAAAGCAACACCTTCTGGTAGAAGAGGGAAATGTTGGTGATGAGGAAGCCTACTCAGGTGCTGGGTGAGGCACAGATGATGTAGTGTGAATTAGGAGAAGGGGTGCAGAGCACATGCAAGGTCATGGGATGACACAGAGAGTACGGAGACTCCCACCACATACCTCTCATTCCGAGTCCAGCCTCCCCTCGCACTGCTTTATGGCCTTTAAAAAAGAAAAAAAGAAGACTTCTCACCAATAACAATAAAATAGAACATGCTTGAAAGTCAGAAGGCAGAGCCTCCTCCCAGTGCTGGGCCTAGATGAGAGATTGGAGAGAGGATTGGCCAGCAGGGAGGAGGCCTAGCCTAATGAGCGAGCCAGGGGCAATCCAAGATGGTGCACGCCATCGCCAAAGCAGCAATGGTGGGTAGAGGGACCAGAAAGGTCTGACCAGACCGAGGACCAGAGCAGCAGCAGAGGCATTTCTGGACTTAGAGTCTGACAGAATCCAGAGAGTAGAGAAGAAACGCCTTTGAGCAGCGATTGGTCACCCATGCTCAGTGCCATGGAAGTAATGATAGGGAGAGACTTCCCGTCTACTTCCGGGGTCAAGGAGCAAATTTGTTCCAGGAACAAATTTCTTCTGCTGCTCACAGTTCCCTTCAAAGTGCCCAATGTGGCAGGAGCTTGTCCAGGAGCCCTCAAAGTCTGAGCCGCTACCCATCCTATACCTTGTTCTCCAGAATCATGACTTTAAGCATTATCCAGCAGGGATGCTACAGGCTGCACTTCCCTCATAAACAAATTCATGTGGAGCTCAACAATGAGACTGGTCTGTTATCAACCAAGGGAAAGGACCCGAAGGCTGACACTGAAACAGCTGTCACTTTGGTCTAGCTGCCCTCACCCTGACCTGCCTGTACTGGGCAAGGCCCAAGAGTTAGGACTCTGCTTAAGTTAACTTTATTTGAGGGTTTTAATTGCTGTTGTTTCTAATGCCAGAGGATGTGCATGCACATGCATGAGAAAAACAGGGAGAAAGAGAGAGGAGAGAGAGAGTGGGAGAGACTGAGAGAGAGAGAGAAAATAAGCTTCCCATGGGGCCTAATCACACTCCAATGCTTTTTCTCACGATTCTTTTTCCTGTCAGGATCTTGGGCTTGTGCATGTGTGTACCAGGGGTGTTTTTCAACCTGCCAGGGCTCAGAGTTGAAACTTGGTTGCCCATGTAGTATCTGTCTACAGGGGTGGCCTTAAGTTAACTTCTAATTTCTCAAAGAATACATCATAAACATGTTATTCTTTTAAAATATTAAAACTAAGACTAAAGTTGCCTTTGACTGTCCCCATCTTAAGCTCCCCCATCAGTATTTTATGTCACCATCATTATTTCTGGGCACATGGCTTACCAGATATATTCTGTGTATTTAGATATAAAGTATACAGTATTGGTGGGGTATGTGTTGGGGGGAGGGATCATTCCCCTTGCTGATCTTACTCTCTATATAAACCTGTTGTCTATTTTTCAGAGATGAAAAATCATCTTATGCCTATTCACTATCTACTTATTTTCCTGTTGTTGGGCAGAATTTTAGTCTTTGATGTTTCTGCCCCTTCCTACAGTAGACATCCTTCCATATGACTCCTCGACTATAACTTTTCTAGAGTACACCCAGGGTAAAAATACTGGAAGTTAAAAACAAAACAAAACAAAACAAAACTTCCCATTTACAGTTGTGCTAGGTAGTACCAATTCGTTCTCCTAAGTCTGAAAGTCTGTAAGATACATCACCCCACCCAGCTTTGCCAATTAGGAGCACATAATGCTGTTTTATTTCACATAACACAAACAATTGGTGAAATTTAGCAACTTTTAATTATTGACCATTGGGCTTCATCTAAAAAGGCTTAGCCTTTGCCCATCTTGAGGTGTCTTTTTCTGATTTATATGTAGTCATATATACTTAAACACACACACACACACACACACACACGCACATTCTGGATACTAATCAATTTGGTTTTGTTATTATGCTGTAAGTCATGGAGGGGTTTTCCTCCCTCTCTTTCATCTTCTTTGCCTCTTATTCTTTCCTCCATTTTCTTCTTGGGAGAATCCAGGCAATGCTGAACAAATATGTTTACATCTGGCACATTTTGGGAACTTCCTCTCTCACCTCTGCAAAGTGGAAAGCCAGCTCAAATATTTGCTAATTATGGAGCTAAGCAGATCTTATCATTGGTTTCCTTGAAGCTTATGACTAATAAAAGTCATGAATTGTGATTATGTCACAGGACAAAGTTGTCCTAGATCGCCCATGCTAACACTTCCTCTTTGGTGTACATGGAGGATACAACTACTTCATCAGCGAACTCCCTCACCCTAAGCCTGAGTTCAGCCTCAGATTCCTTCCTAATAATAGTGGTTACCAAGGCGAGTTGGTGGTGTAGTGGGGTTGAAGGCAGCTGGATCCACATGTCCAGCTCCATGGTTCGAGTCCAAAACCCTGCAGCCCACTCTTGTCATCTCTTTCTTATTCTGTCTCTGAGAAGCACACATGACCACTGAGAGAAGGAGGAGAAAGAACTGATATTGAGCAATAAAATGTGCATAAAAAAAAATAGTGTCTACCACTATTTAGTTGGAGTTGGCACATAAGAAAATCTACATGCTGCCACAACCACAGCTTAATCAAGTGCATTTTAATCATCCCAGTTAACAGGGGCTTCAAAGCCTCTCTACCTCACAATGATTATCTCATCAGAGTTTTCATTAAAAAAGAAAAACTCAGCTAATTGGTTTGACCTCACTATTTAGGAAAATGATAATAATAACAAGCTAACATTTATTGAGTAGTTACTATGTGCCAGACAGCATGTAAAATGCTTTCTCATATTTTCTCATTGAATCTGACAGCAGCTACTTAAGTGGAATTGTGTCATGTCATCAGATAAAGGCAAAAACAGTCCCTCCACTGTTCTTGACTTCCCTCTTTCCTCTCCCAAGATGTGAGCTGCAAGAAGACATCAGCTTTCCTTCTTGCCTGAGCCATTATTATTTAGCATGTTTATCTTTCAATACATTCAGAAACTTACTGGAGCACAACGAATTCGCTTGTCTTCATGATCTGGAAAGATCTCAGTTTAGTGGAAAAAATGATAGAATTGGATCTCACTCAGATAGTCATGCCCAGCTAGAGTCGATCCCCCACCAAACCGCCTTCACTAGGTGCAATAAACATCTTCGGCTGCTGTTAGTAGTGGTGACAAGTGCATGCATCTCCTAGGAATTGTCCTCAACTCTTGGGAATCACTTCTCCTAGAAATATATAGTAAGTAACTTCCTTCCTAGGAAGTATGCCCCTTTCATGTCCCTGTTTCAGCCCAGCCAGCAACAAACTAATACAGGAATACAACAGCTCAAACCCCTTGCCTCAATGGAAGTCAACTCTTTCTTGGTGCGATTAGCACTGCAGAGCTCCCCATGGGGGCTGAGGCTAGACCCCATTTTAACCCATATTTTTACCAGTCTTCTTCCCCTGTTCTCTCTACCTTCCCCTTTCCCTTACAAGATACATCTCAGAACCTTCCTTTCATAAATCACATGCATGAGAATCTCCATCTCAGAATCTGCTCTTTAGGGCACCTGACCTGAGGTAGAGCTCACAAGGACTCGTTCCTCTAGCTGATTTGCATTCTTGTATTCAAGGTTCCATGATAGGACATGTCTTTGCTTCTCCATCAATGACATAGAGAGTAGAGCCTTGGGAAATCTAGTTGAGACAAAAGAAAAATATGGTTTCCTGTTCAAATGGGAGGTCCATTGAAGGACCTCTGTCTTCTAGATGTATCTAAAATGAGCTTGTTGTGCCTCCACCCCTTTCTCTCTACTCAAGAAAGCCTATCGAAATGCAAGTGAATGCGAGATGCTGATTAGGTGAAGCAAGTTAGACCATCATGTGAGTACTCACTTCCTTGGAACCAGCAGATAGCCTAATGGTTATGTCACTGGACTCCCACATAGTCGACTGTGGGTCACAGCCTTGGAAGGGTTTTACTGTTGTTTTTTCATGAAGTTACTACACCCTAGGTTTGTAGACATTGAAACTATTGAGTATAAACTTTGGATAAATAGTGATTTGGAATGATCTTAATCCAATGGTTTCTATTGTTTGAAGGTCAGGCCATAACTGCCAAAGGCCTTCCAGCATTGGTCCTGAAATCTACAAGTTCACCCCAGTCAGCATCTCCATCTCAGTTCTCCATATTCTAAGACTGCTGGCTAGCTACGGGACTCGATGTCAGCAGACTGGGTCTTTCTCCTTTTCTTTTTTTTCTTTCTTTTTTTTTTTTTTTTTTTTTGATAACCTCAAATTCCACCTATGCAATATTCTGTGAAGTATTTATCTGAGTAATTCAGAAAATAATAATAATAATATTAATGACCATGACAACCATCGATCTCCACTTACCTGCGCCTGAATTATCTGGGTACTCTGTTCAGCATTGAAATATATGAGTATCGGGACCAGAAGGTGGCATGGTGGTTAAGGTGCTGGACACTCCCACATGGCTGACCACGGTTCAAGTCCTGGACCTGGTAGCTTGCTTTCTCACTTTCCTTCACTGTGTGTGTGTGTGTGTGTGTGTGTGTGTCTCTGATCAAAATTTAAAAATAAATAAATGAATAAATAAAATAAAATTAAAAATTTTAAAAAATAAAAAAGAAATATCTGAGTATCATTGTTTTTAAAACTATCACACTTTATTTAGGTACGAGTTACTCAGATATTCATCCCAGTTCTCTCATTTTGCTTTTGTATGTGTAAACATAACCTTGATGCTAAAACAGGCCTTTTCTCCCCTTCATCCTCAGACACTCTATTAAGGTAGGAGAGACAGAGAGCATCAGATTTATACTTTTAAAGCTTGTTTATTTATTTCTTCCATGAACAAGAGAGACAGAGAGCGAGAGAGACAAAGAGCATCCTCGATAGGGACATGGTGCTATGACCTATCCCTGACTCCTGCCAGTCCCTTATGATAGGTAGGCATATGCTCAGCATACCCAGAGAGGTCTCTGGATTCAAACTTAGAACCCTCCCAGATGGGGCAGCCTTGTAGAACATTACATTTTGTCACAGCACCACTTTCGGGCTCTCATCAGTCCCAGTTTTGATATGGAAAAATCAAGTCGTGGAGAGGGTAATTTGTCTATAGAG